ATTGACTTCTGGTTTATGTCGGTGCGCTAGCAGACGCACCTCCTGGACCTTCTGGGGGTGAAGCTGCGTTCCAGCCGAAGGAGGGGGTGCACAGGCTCGCTAACCCTCCCAGTGGCCTGGCGAAGGGACCCTGGCCATGGAACTTCAAAGAGGTGGCCTCTTCGACGGCGGTATGCCGGAGAATTGAGGCGCCTTTTCGTTCTGACAGTCCTACGTGCTGTGAGACCGAATGGAATTAAGTGACGCTGACCGGGGCAAGCACAGGAGATCGAACGTCAGAAATGAAGCTGAAAGCGAGGTCGAAAGACCAACTATGAACGTGAGTCAATTTTAAAGTGTTTTAAAAGAAAAAAGATAGCTCCCCCCCTACTGAACGGGAAAAAGGCGAGCGGGGAGGGACGCTTCCCACGCGCATGAACTTTTGAGAGATTGAGGGGGGCGGAGTGGAAGAAAACGTGAAGGAAACTGCCTAGAAGTACTTACCAAAGCGAATCTAAGCGGTCAAGCGCATATTCAGAGACTTTTAAAAAATTTGCGAAAGTAAACAAACGATAAAGATGGTGGGGAAGAAGGACAGAGAAAAACTTTTGAAAGCGAAAGGGTCTGAGAGCCCGAAACCGGAAGTTACCAGTGAGGTGGCAAAGAATATAGCGGAATATATGCTCCCTCTGCTGGAACAGCTGAATAACTTCAAGGAACAGATGTTTATAGTGACTCAAAGTATTACTGCAGATATGCTGCAAATAATGAAGCAAGATACTGAGAAGGTAAAGGAAGTGGCTGCAACTACCCAGAAGGTGAAGAAAAAAGTGCAAAAGCTGGAAAGGAAACAAACAAAATTCTCGAAGAGGCATGTGAGGGATGCAATCCTGAAAGCGGTCGCTGGAATACCCCTGAAAGTGGGGGAAAATACCATCAGAACGCTAAAGGATATTCCATTTGAAGTGTTACTTGACACTTGGACTACTTTTGGACTCTGCCTCTGGAATATGTGACCTGACCCTGGAATTAAACCTTGCACTGCCTTTTGATTTTGCCTTTGGATTGTATTATTGAACCCTGGGTTGTGATCTCAGAACCTCTGCTGTCTGACTCTGTGGTTAAGAACATAAGAGACGCCAATGTTGGATCAGGCCAAAGGCCCATCCAGCCCAACACTCTGTATCACACAGTGGCCAGAAATACCAGTGCCATCAGGAGGTCCACCAGTGGGGCCAGGACATTAGAAGCCCTCCCACTGTTGACCTCCCATGCATAATCTTATAAACCTCAATCATGTCACCCCTCAGTCGTCGTTTCTCCAAGCTAAAGAGCCCTAAGTGCTTTAACCTTTCCTCATAGGGAAAGTGTTCCAACCCTTTTATCATTTGAGTTGCCCTTTTCTGCACTTTTTCCAAAGCTATAATATCCTTTTTAAGGTGTGGTGACCAGAATTGCACACAGTATTCCAAATGAGGTCTCACCATTGATTTATATAGGGGCATTATTATATTGGCTGATCTGTTTTCAATACCCTTCCTAATAATCCCCAGCATAGCATTGGCCTTCTTTATTGCAGTCACACACTGTCTCGACATTTTCAGTGAGTTATCTACTACAACTCCAAGATCTCTCTCTTGATCAGTCTCTGCCAGTTCAGACCCCATCAATGTGTATTTATTTATCAATGTACAAATTCATAAATGATCTCAACAAACGTCTACAATGTACAATATGGCTCTATTATCTTGTAGAGGAAGAGACTGAAATGTCACACAAAGCCCATTTCTCAGGCGGAGGTGTTCTAAGCATAATAAGCTAAACTTGATTTTTGTGCAGTTACTGTTACAGAATTAGAATGTTACTGTTATGAAGCTCCTAGGTAACAACAGCAGTCCCTGAGCAAGATGAAATTACTTGGGTTATTCAGGTCTAATACAGTTCAGTTAGACTGACCCAGCTAAATGATGACTCCGTTTTCAGATCTCTGTGAATAATATTCAATGGTTTTATTGCTCAAAAAATAGAATAATTGTTAGGCATTTCTCTGTCTCAAGTTCCATTTCAAAACTGTTGGAAGAGTGGCACCACCCTGATCCATTGAGATATCTAAAACGGCAACAGTGTTAACCGGTGATGTGTGTTGTGGCAGCTACGGCCTCAGTCTGAAATGGGGCATCAGAAAACTCCTGCCCCTTACTGTCAACCATGGCTGATGCAGAAGCTTTTGTGGTGGCCTCTTTAATGTGCAGCACCAAAGGCACTCACCTCAGCATTATCCTACAGATGACACTGTAGCAATCTAAGTTTGTTATGTGGGAACTATGTAGGGTTGCCAAACCCCCCCTGGTTTGGCAGGGGTCCCCCGCTTTTTGGGGGCTTCTACCCACCACCGGTCAGCTGGCTGCTGGGGAAGCCCTGCCCCCAAGCCCCAACACCCGCAGTCACCCCTCTCCCTTCTCTCTTGAGAGAGAGGAGGGAGAGGGGTGCGCCGAGGGGGGGGGGAACGCCAGCTCCTTTAACTGCAGGAAGCCAGCGTTTCCCAGAGAGGAGGGAGAGGGGTGCGGGGGGGGGGGAACACCAGCTCCATGCACCCGTTCTCTGTCGGGTGCGTGGGGGGGGACGACAGCTCTCTGCACTTAAAGGGGCTCCTTTAAATGTAGGGAGCCGGCATTTCCTGCGCACCCAATCTCCGCAGAGATTGGGTGCATGGGGGGGGGGGAAAAGGGCAGCTTTCCGCCAGCTCTCTGCACTTAAAGGAGCCCCTTCAAGTGCAGAGAGCTGACGCCACTGGAAGATCAGGTGGGCTGGTGGGGGGGGTCCCCAAAGTGACATCACCATGTTGGGGATGCCCTGCCCCCTCCTGGAATGTCCCCCAAAGTCCCCCACTATGGGTGAAGATAGGACTTGGCAACCCTAGAACTATGTGCAACCCTATTGATTTTCTTGGATCTCTTGGTGTTACCAGCAAATCCGAGGGAAGCTGTGGAAACTGTGAACCAGTGCCTTGAAGCAGTTTGGGGATGGATGAGGACTAGTAAACTGAAACTTAATCCTGACAAGTGAAGGTGCTACTGGTGGGAGGAAGGATTGGCCCAGTAACTGAGGTGTCACTGGCTCATCTGTTGAGAGCCAGCTTGGTGTAGTGGTTATGTGTGTGGAATCTAATCTGGGAGAACCGGGTTTGATTCCCCACTCCTCCACTTGCACCTGACTGGATGACCTTGGGCAAGCCATAGTTCTGTCCACCTGACTGGATGACCTTGGGCAAGCCATAGTTCTGTCAGAGGTGTTCTTGAAAAGAGCAGTTTCTGTCAGAGCCCTCTCAGCCTCACCTACCTCACAGGGTGTCTGTTGTGGGGAGGGGAAGGGAAAGGAGTTTGTAAGCCGCTCTGAGACTCCAAGTGAAGGGCGGGGTATAAATCCAATCTCTTCTTCTTCTTCCATATGTGGTTGTTCTACACAAATAGCAGGTTCATAGCTTAGGAATGCTGCTGGACCCAGGCCTCTTGCTGGAAAAGCAAGTGTCAGTGGTGGCTAGGGTTGCCAGGTTGTGAAATCCCTGACACGATGACATCATGATCTCTTGCTGGAAAAGCAAGTGTCAGTGGTAGCTAGGGTTGCCAGGTTGTGACAGTATCATGCCAGGAATGTCACATGGTGACACTGGTTTTTGGACATAACTGTATGGTAAAGCTGGCTTCAAACCACAGAACTTTGTCCTCAAACCAGAGTGTTGCCGCACGATGTCCCTGGTGTGATGATGTGACTTCCAGGAGTGCCATCTTATTGGGGACATCACGCAGTGATGTTGCTGTTCATGGGCAAAGGACCTGGGTTTGAGAAAGATTTTTTTGAAACGTGCTTTTGTTCTGGAAGAGTATGTTGCTTTGCACTCCAATAATCTTAATTCCTCTCTTTGCATTCTGCTGGTGAAATTGGCTAGGAGCCATGGTTGCTCCATTGGTCTGTAAACATCATTAGGGAGTTTCTGTGAGGACTGGACATTATCACTTTGCATGAGAGGATTGGGCTTCCGGTTTATGGCGACACGCAGGCAGACACACCTCCCGGACCTCCCGGGTATGTAAACTGCACACCAGCGTGTGGGAGGGGGTCTGACAGGTCGTGACCCCCCTGGAGCCTTGGTAAAAGGGTCCCAGCCAGGGGGCTTTTGAGGGGCGACCTCTTCGATGGCCGAAAGCCGGAGAATTGAGGCGCTCCTCCACTCTGAAGGTCCTGCCGCTGAGTGACCGCATGTTACAAGTGCTGCTGACCGGGACAAGCGTGGAGATTGGGCGAAATAAATGATGATGAGTGAGGCCGAATGGCCAACAATGAACTGTGAGTCGGGTTCAAGCGAGCATGAAGATATAAAAAGAAGCTGCCCCCCCCAAAGAGCGACGGGAAAGCGAGCGGGGGAGGGATCCCTCCCAAACGCATAGACGAAACACGGAAGGAAAGAGGGGGAAGAGGAAAAATAAGTGACTAAAACTGTATGCAGATGATGTTGTAGAATTATCTCACACCCAGAAGGACCTTAAAAGCAAGAAATTGCAAGTAGATAAATAGGTACCACTTCGGTGGGAAGCTAACAGTGTTCCGTCTAATGGCCACATGACCACGGAGAAGTCTTTGGACAGCGCTGGCTCTTCAGCTTGGAAACGGAGATGAGCACCGCTCCCTAGAGTTGGATTCAACTGGCTTTCGACCAAGGGAAACCTTTACCTTTACCTTATTTAAATGAAATCATGTTTGAGCCTTTTGCTGGAGTCAAATTATTTTTATGTCTTCGTAAATAATGAGCATCACTAGACAAATCCATTCAGATGTTTCTTTCCACTTGCAGAACAAGAAATATATATATCATGGTTTCAATAATGTTTAATTTTATAATATTGGAACTGAACAGATCTTCAGGTTCTATATTTCCATCCATCTCCATCTGTACATCTATTCTTCTTTCACTTGGTATCTTCAGTTTCTTTTCATTATGTTTATCTTAGAATCCATCTTCAGTGTTACTTGTAATAAACAACTTCAGACTTACTGACATTCTTGAGGATTCCTGTAAAGAAACAGGAGGAACGTGAGGAAAATACAGTTGAGGAAAGCAGAGAATAAAGAAAGATGGTGAGCCAGTAAACACAGAGAGAATTTGAAGAATCAGTTTGGGTCATGGATTTAGGCAAATTTTATTAAATCATGGCACTACTTTCTCCATTTGTAGGTAACCTCTTCAGTTCTCAGCTGTCCACTTCAAAGAGGGAGATGTCACATATAATCTCAACTAAATTAAGGTGAACATGTCTGATATGAGCTTTGTTTTGTCAGTTTTGGAGTGCTGTTATGTATCATATAGAAATTAAATATCCCCAATGGACAGCTGCTGTTTCTTGAGGAGACCACAGTTGGCTTATGGGAAGGAGAACATCATTGGAAGGAGAAGGTTGGGAAGAATACATTAGAGTTGGAGAGGAATATAGAGAACAAAACATAATGAAAGGAGACCAGGAAGGAGGGAGAAGGTGTGGTGGATCCAAGACATATTGAAATAAAAGGTAAATTAAGAGGTAACTTAGAGTAGAATGGGGAGAGAAAGGTTAATGAGAGGGAAGACTGTTGCACTATAAATAGCTAAAGAATATGAAGAGTCCAGAATAGCAGGGAAAAGTAATGGTGTAAAGAAGAGAACAAGGAAATAATGAGAGGGGAGAGAGAGTCAGTTTCTGATTGTTTAAAGAAGCATTCTGCAGAAACTCACAAAACACACCAGTACCTTATAGCTCTATCCTCAGTTCTGGAAAGTATAACTGCAGACATTTGCTAAACTAGTGGACAATATAAAACTGAATTTAAGATAATGACATGAATGAATGTGCATATTTTTGCATATAGCACTGACACTATTTGGTTAAATTTTTTTGGCTGCTGATCCAAACAGGGAAATCTAAAAGGCAGTTTTGGTCCTAATGACTTTGGAAAATATTTGAAAGTAGCAGTGTTTCCCATAATGAAATTTACTAATAAACATTGCCAGTATTCTGGAAGCATAGTAAACTGTGTCTCACAAAAGCTCATATTGAAATAAATGAAGTTAGTCTTTAAGGCGCCACTAGACTTTTGTTTTATTTTGCTACAACAGTCTAACTACCCCTTTACAATAACATTTCTGACTGCTACTATAAATCCCACTTCTCCTAATCTGAGATTAGTTGAAATATGTGGTGCTTCATACCCCCTTTTGTCCCTTGTTAGTTGCCTTTCTCCCTTGTGGAACTCAGGGTGGCTTTAAATAAAACATTATGGAAAACACAATAAAAACAACTATTATGAAGCCCATAAAAGTCACAGATTAAAAACTCCAATGAGGACTGCCAATAATAAAAGCTAAATCAATAAAAATGCAGTCCTAAATAAAACTCTCTTCAACAGCCTCCTGAAGATCAACAATCAGGGCACCAGGCGCATCTCCCTGTCACATGCACTAAATATTCCACTTTCAATCCACTTCCAGTGCACTTTCCAACTGGATTTTTACTGTATGAACTGGCAAAATCCAATTCAAAAGGGCATGGAAAGTGGATTATTTATAGTGTGCTTGACTGCAGCCCCTGAGGAGGTTGTTCCATAACTGTTGGGCTGCCACAGAAAAGACCTCCTTTCATGTACCCACCAAACAGTCAGGAGGACATCTCCCTGCAATCCTAATTCCTGGGCAGGAACATGTGGAAGAAGACGGTCTTTCAGATACCCTGGTCCCAAGCCATGTAAGACTTTAAAGGACAAAACTAACACCTTAAATTGGGCTCAGGAGTGGATTAGTAGCCAGTGTAATTGCTGTAGTATTGGGGACATATGGTCTTGATAGCTGGCAATGACCAGCAGTCTAGCCACAGCATTCTGCACTAGCTGCAGCTTCTGAATACTCTTCAAGGGTAGCCCCAATTAGAGTGCATTGCAGTAGTTCAGTCTAGATGCAACTAAGGCATGGATCACTGTGGCTAGATCTGACTGAACCAGGAATGGATGCAGTTGATGCACCAGTCAGAGCTGGGCAAAAGTACTCTGAGCTACAGCAGTGATCTGGGTTTCTAAAGTGATCACTGTGTCAAGCAGTCCTCCCAAGCTGTGAACCTAGCGTTTCAAGGGAAGTGTAACCCCAGCCAAGACAGGGGAGATCTGAAGTCCTTGGTCTGCCTTTCTACTAATGTAGAGAACCTTGAGTCAGATAGGACTCAAACCACCATAACATGGTGTCTCTTAGTCCTCGTGCTGAGAGGTGGTTCAGTAGGATACTATGGTCCGATGGACTATGGTCTCTTGCATGTGTGGCTCTCTGCAGGAGTGCTGCTTACTGGGCTACATATTCTCAGTTTTGAGTGAGAAATATAAACACATCCTATTTTAACCTAGGCTATAGAATCCCTGAAAAATCTTGTTAAATCCACTTTACCATATGGTTGCATTACCTAGAATTTAACCTCCATAATATTTAATTTTAATAGCATGATTTCTTTGTAAGCCAATTTAATAGGGAACTAAGGTGATGGAAATATAATAGTTCACAGTTCTATCAGCTTCTTGCTCAGTATTGTGGACTGAGCCCTATACTTTTTTCCACTGGCATTAGTGTGTTTCTCTAGCACTTCCCTCCCTCAAAGAAAGACAGAACCAAGCTACATGAGGTGTGTGAGATAACTTTCATGAGGAAGAATCTGTGATCTTGTTAACACGAGAGATCAATGATCAACTTTCTGACTTTTTGATGTCTCTAATTTCATGTAAAAGCTGCCATGCCATTTCTCTGATATAAATAACCTAGCCAGCTACTACTAGTCCTGGTAGGGAACAAGACAGGTAACTTCATGTCCATCCAAAAAGGAACAACATTTGTATATATATAGAAACAAAACTGGAGCATGTGAATGAGCAGAAGTCAACCCTGTCTCTCCCATCCACTATTCTGGTGTTTGAAGCATTTTTCTCTCATTCTGGTTCCAGTACGGTGTAACAGTGTCAGCTGGACAGGGAGAAAAGTGACTGAAATCAACTAAGTGCAGCATACAAGGAGGTGAAGGGGAAGTGTTTAATTTCCCTGGCCTGAATACTCCATTTTAATTTAAAAATAGACTTTTCCACCCCAACCCCCACTCGAGGATCTTTTCTCCAATCTGCTTGATATTTGGCAGGGAGGATATTTTGGCTGACTAGTATAATTCCACTTGTTGGGGAAATAAGGCAGAAATGTGTTAAAATAATGGAAATATAAATACAATTAGGGTGTATGGGTATAAGACTAATAAATGACATAATAATGAATAACATAAAATATTTTTTAAAATTGCAACTACATTAAATGTTACTTTCACCCTGTTGAATAATAATAAAGAACTTGTGCTTTGTCATAATGGAGGTAACCTCCCAGGCCCCATGTATGGCTTCAGAAAATGGATTCTTAGAATCCTGTAACTATACAAATATGTTCCTTTTGTTCTTATAAAATAAAGTTGGTTTTTTTATCCAGTATTTTAAATGTTTTCCTTTGACATTTGAATGCCTATGATTCTGATGTACTAAATCTATTTATCTATTGCATTATATGCCTATGGATTTAAATTGTCTCAACCTGCCTACCCCCAAATGTCTAGAGGGTTAAAATAAAGCCTGTCTGGGGTGATCATAAGCATTTGAATTTTAAATGAGGCTCAGATAAGATGGCAAGATATTGGAGGCTGGCAAAAACTCCTTCTTGACCTCTGCGTCTCCCAAAGATCCCCAAACAAGTGATGAATGCTGTCAAAGCATTGTCTTTGGGAGAAGAACTACATGAGAAAACTTGTTCTGTACTTTATACACAAGAGTTATTGTAGAAAACAGAATGATAATAGACCATAGCAGTTAGACATCAATGAACAGAATTTGTCAGGTAGACAAAAAGAAACTGATGTGAATTAAGTGAGAAAAGGAGAAATGTGTGAATATTAAATGTAAAAACAATAAACGAGTTTATACAAATATGATTCACATAGAAGATATACTGGACAAGCCAGTTTGGTGTACTGGTCAAGTGTGCAGACTCTAATCTGGGAGAACCGATGCAGCTGCTGATGTGACCTTGGGTTAGTCGCAAGCTCTGGCACAGCTGTCCTTGAAAAAGAGCAGTTTGTGTCAGAGTTCTCTCAGCCCCACCCACCTCACAGGGTGTCTGATGTGGGGAAGGGAAGGGAAAGGAGTTTGTAAGCCGCTCTGAGACTCCAAGTGAAGGGTGGGGTATAAATCCAATCTCTTCTTCTTCTTCAAATTTAATACATATGTACTTGAAAGTGTGCATGATGACTTACTTGTGTGGGGAGCAGGGTGATTTCTGCTTCATTCTGTGGGCATACCTGTCCTAACCACAGACACATCTCATGCTCACACACTGAATGTAATATTTGAGGACTATAAAAGCAGGCTTTACCCTTAAAATAAAAAAGTATTTTAAAAAAGCAGGCTTTGATCAATATTACGCAAAATGAATGTGCACATGCTGGACTGTGTCATTACCGTTTGATCAGCCTTTTATCATCTGTCAGGAAACTGCATTCTTCCCTTCTGTATCAAAGATTAATGGAATGGATGGAGACCAATACGATTTTAGGCTGGGAACAATTTGGTTTCAGGAGATGATTTTCCACCATTGACCATTGTTTAATTCTCCTCCACTTAGGAGAAAAGTATACAGCTATGCTAAGGGGGAAGCTGTATGTGGCTTTTATGGATCTCAAGGGTACATTTGGTTCAGTCAGTCGGACAAAACTATGGGAGAAACTGGAGGGTTCAACTGATTAAACCCCCCCCCCTCTGGTTAATTATTATACACCAATACTACTCCTCAGGTTCGCTGTGGGCAACTTTCAGACAGCTTTAGTATAAATGGGGAGGGGGATAGAGCCAAGGTTGTCTGATTGCTCTCCTCCTTTTCAATCTATATTTAAATGATCTGATGTTGAGCCTCTCATCCCTAGAGTTTCATGCCCCCAGATTAGCTCCAAAAGAATTAGCACTGCTGCTTTATGCTGATTCTGTTCTTATTTCCCATACTGAGGTTGTGTCCAGACAGGCAGGTTGTTATGGCAGTATCCCACGGAGAAAAAAGCCACTGGAGTTAGGTGCACTTCACAGTATTCGCACCGGTCCCACAATGCCAGTTGCATCGGGTAGCTGGCCCATGAGGGCCGGTTCAGATCACTACCATGCCACCAGCACGAAGCCATGGCTGATGCACCCCTCTGATTGGTTGGGTTGCTGAAAACGGCATACCGCCGTGCTGGAAACGGTAGGGCCGTTCACACGCCTCCTGCGCTTCCGTGGTGCGCCTGGCCGATCAGACACCGGAAAATCCGCCATGGAAGTGCCTCACCCGGGAAACCACCAGATTTCCCTGGTAGCTTTTTAAGCTGACGGGGAGTCATTCTACTATGAGGTGGGTATGGATGGCTGTTGGGTGCCAGATGTTTGCGTCTGATCATGCTGATTTGATCCAGAGGGGAGGAGTGACTGTGTCAGAGCAAACTGCCCATGTGATCACAGCCTAAGATTGTTCTGAAGAGACTTCTGAGACATTTCTCAAATTGCTGTTTAGATGAGAAGCTGCAAATGAACTACGATAAATCAAAAATCGCCCCCCCCCCCCAAATAGCAATTTGGGTCTTGCTAAATGGTTGTAGCAAGCTCTTATATCAAACAAGTTAGGAAGTGTTGTTATTTTGGGGATAGTTTTCTCTTCAAACCTTTCTGGGTTCTCCCAGCTTAAGTCAATCCCTTTGTCAGTTTTTGCATCGGATAACGGGTGTCACTCAACATGTTTCAGATATGTCTCTCAGAGATGATGAACTAGACCAAAAGCTGTTTGAGGCTGCAGTCATACATGCAGTTTGATGTGGTGTGGCCCTGCTTCTAATTGATCCAGGGGTATTTTTGTAACGGAGAGTTTTGATTAGACACCCCCCAACCCACTTCAACACACTTCCACACCATGGTTGATTGAGCAGATGCAACAGCCATGGAGGGGGGTGTTCGGACAGGGTTTTTTAACCATTTGTTTTTGAGCATGCACATAAGTGCTTATGGGAAGCAGCGCTTCAAACTCCTGACAGAATAGCGACAGCTGGTCACCAATGGGATTGCTGGAGGAGGCTGCTGGGATATGTATTTCAGTGTGAAGGAAGTGTTTTTGAAACTGTGCTTTTGATAAATTCATCATTTCAAATGTTTCAAAGCTGGGGGGAGAGAACAGAGAAGCCTCCTCCTGTGTCCAGTGTACTGCTGGCATTTTTATTTAAAAGCTTGAAATGAAGCTGGAGTCACAGGCACTGTTCTCAGACTGCCTCACTCCCTCCCCCTCTGGAAAAACTCATCTTTTCAATTAACCCCTTCCCCACCTTGTGGTTGGAAAGCACAGAAAAAAGTACGCAGGCATAATTCTTTGGAAGTTTTTAAAAAAGAAAAAACAGTTTTGAGAAGCTCCTGAAAGAGAGAGAGAGAGATACATATATGTAGTTATGCACACCTTGCTAACTGCTTCAAAAAAAAAAGAGCCCCAAACCATAAGGGAACGTTCAGACTTCCCAAGCAGCTTGAGAGCACGATGGATTGATCAGACATCCGCAAATGTGCGGTAAAACTGCATGCACCAGGAAGGACCAGACTTTCCCCAGTGCCAAATAACTCCAGCTTGAAGACAGGTGAGAACAGGGTGTCCATGGCTGGGGAACAGAAGACAGATGCTGCTGTCTGGACGTGCATTTTAAATCCGGAAGGGAACAGCAGTGACACCGGATCAAACTGCATGTCTGATTGCAGCTGGAAGCTAGAGCATAGTTTAGTGCTTTTATGTTAAGAATAAAGATTATCTTTGCCATTGAAGTGGATGGATTGCTGTTTTATTTTAAACAAGATGCTTATTATTCTATATGGATGAAGACTGTTGATACTACATTACAGCAACTGGGCTTTACAACAGAAGAAATTCTCTAGCTGGATAAGCCAGAGACCCTCTCCATTGTCAAGCATCGTCTTACCGAGCTTGATTATAATAGCACAGTAATACATGCTCATAGAGTTTGTTCAACCCAATTCTTTGGTATTTTACCATCTTGGTCCTTGCTTTCCTGTATGAGAAACTTGACAGTTCCTCATTATGTGAGGGCATTTGCTCTAGCTCACCTTAACTCTAACCCCTCCAAAGGTTTGTAGGTGAGGTTTCCATATTGCAGCTCCAGATCGTCTTTGTCCATATGGCCAGGGTAAAATGGATACTTTGTCTCATAAAATGTTGGAATGGTCTTTTTTTACTGTATTTAGAAATCGCTGGATCTTACCTGTTTTATCATGTTTATCATTTAATAATTTTCAAAGGGATGTTATTCCCTATCTGATGCTGGACAGTGATCCAAATATAACCTTATTGGTTGTTAAATTCATGAATATCATATTTTCTGTCAGAAACAATTTTGTGTTCTTCTAGTTATTGCTCAAGATATATGGATCACACCATGGTTGTGCCAGTTTGGTGTAGTGGTTAAGTGCACGGACTCTAATCTGGGAGAACCGGGTTTGATTCCCCACTCCTCCACTTGCACCTGGCTGGATGACCTTGGGCACGCCATAGTTCTGATAAGAGCTGTTCTTGAAAAAGAGTGGTTTCTGTCAAGAGCTCTCTCAGCCCCACCTACCTCACAGGGTGTCCGTTGTGGGGAGGGGAAGGGAAAGGAGTTTGTAAGCCACTCTGAGACTCCAAATGAAGGGCGGGGTATAAATCCAATTTCTTCTCTCTTCCTCTTCTTCATCAGAGGAGTTTTGCAAAGGAAAGGCCTGGACTCTGTGTCATAATCCTCATGTAAACTGTATGGCCATTTAAACATTATTGAAATGAGTCTGGGGCTGCCTGGAACTCCAGATGCTCCCCAGCCATGACAATCTTTTTGGCTTGGAAGGAGTGGCAGAGGCAGCCTGGATGTGGGGAAAGTGGAGGTGCGGTGATTCACTCGGGTGCTGCCAAAGAAACGCTGCTGATTAGCTGGGCTTACTGGAAGACAAGGCTTCCCCATGGCTGGGAAAGTCTGGGTAGTATTTAATAGGGCCTACAGCGGGGGCACTTCGGGGTGTGGGGGGGGGGAGAGCAGCAGCCAAACTTGGATGAAGGGCCCAGCTGGGGAAGGACTGGATAGTTAGTGGCACCTCCTGGCAGAGTGGAACATCCAGGAGAGCCACACATGGCAGCAGAGCAAGTGCAGCTGGATGGGAGGTGGGGTTGATGGGAGAAGCCCCACCAGTTGCATGGCCAGTTGCATGGTCTGAAGGGTACCCAGGTGAAGGCGATGGGAGGAACATGCCCAGCATTAATGAGGGCCCAGGAACAGGGTTGGGGTTGGGTTAAAACAACCTTCTCTTTAAAAGAGAAAGTCCTAAAGAGCCAAGGAGGAAGTGGGCTGGAGGGCTTCAGAACTGTTGAGCCTGCCAGCTAGGGTGAGGGGAGAGCTGGTTGCATTTAACCTCCTCCTCAACCCATTCTGAGGCCAGAGGAGTATTTAAGGAAATTGCTGCACCATGGCATACAGGTGGCAAGACAAGGGGACTATGTCAGCGCCTCACAAAATGTCATATGCAGTAGGCCTATAGAAGGGTGCAACTTATTAGGAGTAAATCCTATACACTTTCAGCTATATGTTCATAGGAACAACAGGTAACTAGAATTTGGCATTATCCATATTTCTATTTACAAGGCCATCCAGCTTTGTAATAATCTTTCAAGGTACTTGTTATGATTATGGAAGGACAAAGGAGACAACAAAAAACAAAATATAATATACACAGATTTGTAAACAAATAATAGTTTGGTCAAAAATAAAAAAACCTTCTATAGCTATTGTCTTAAGGTCTCTGGCTTCAATTGACTGAGTTGGCTCAGTTGCTGAGATGGTATACAATGTTTATAAACGTTCTTATTGGTCAGACATTTATTCAAATGTCTCCACTCCAACCTAGGGACCGACAGGGCTGTGTACTGTTGATGAATGTAGTGTAGTGTTGGGCACTGTATGAGAGCACTATGAATGTGTTTATATAAGAATGAAGGGTATAGATACACATGCATGCACACGAGCAAACTAATCTGCAAATTTGTGTGTTGCCCTACTTGTTGTTTAAAAGCTGACTTGAGCCACAAGGGGAAGGGAGATATTTTAATAAATACAATTTAATAAGATAGGCAATAGAAAGCATAGGACACACAAAGCTGTATTCCAAGGGGCAGTGACTGTAAGTCACACAGAGGCAGCACAGACTTTAAATCAAACAAGCTGAAGATTTCTATAGTGACAAGGTCAACTCCAGTATTTTCCCATGCTTGTCAAGTGGGTACAACAGCCAAATAAATTCATTGTTTATATAAGAAAAAAAACATTTAGCAGACATTCATGCATCACGGTGAATGGTGCTGAAATGTAGACCTGAACGGCAGCTCATAGCAAATAGCACTCCTGATAACAAAAGTCATTATGAACATTCTAGAAAGAACATAGAATGTAGGAGAAATCATCTACAATGTCTTAAAGAATAATGTTTGCCAGACATACAAGCCATAGAGAAAAGCTAGATATTTCAGTAGCATGAATTAGGACTCACATTTCTTACAGAGAAACATGGGGGAGTGGGGTGGAATCTGTTAGGAGGGCAGAATAGGAAAATACATAACAATGTCAAATAGCAATTAATTCATACCTGAAGTCTGTAATCTTTTTTCTGAATAAGAAAAAGGCTCTCGTTCCCTAGAACCAAAAAAGACAATCACAATTTTTAAGCTGCAAGAGTTAACACATAAAAAAGGATTACAAATTACACTGTAATTTCAGGGCAGCACTATATATGATGTCAGCAAACATGGATTCCAAATGAGTGAAATTAGGGGTGTTTGCTGGAGGAAAGTTGTGCATGTACTTAACCCTTCCAGTCCTCAGTGCTTCTCGTCTTACTGTTTTACCCCCATTTTTACATCATGATTTCTTTTTTTTTTGCTGGAAAATGTTCCTTTTTAATTTTAAAGTTTTTATTGAGTATCATAAAAAGGTAGAGGGAAATGGGGTACAAAGTGTAGAAGGGAAGGGGGTACAAAAGTAAAAGAATGATGCATGCATTTATTTCTACACGTACTAATATAGTATTAGTTCTACTTAGATCTTCAAATAATTCTTTATATTATATCTAATTACTTAAGTCAAGACATTTCTTAATATCTGCATAGAGCTAAGTTGTTTCCTTTATATCAAATAAGCGTTTTCACTTCCTAAAGAAAGTTATGATCTTATTATCTTGTTAATTTTGATAGAGCATTCCAAATTAGTTAATCATAATTACATTATATTAATTTCATAGCTATGGATTCTCATATTCAAGCTCTTATAATCTCTTAAACATTTATTACAAAATTACTCCTTACTAATACAATTATAAATTTCTAGTGTCCTATCACTTATAAATAGCCATTTTATACTAAAAGCATTCTAAAGGTAATATTTTAAAATATATATCTCTAAAAAACAAACATACCTAATTCTAAAACATATTTCCTACACATTAAAATTTTCTACAATAACACATACAAATGCCTTATGACTAATATTTCTTTGACACTTAATTTTACTACTAATTTCACTCAAATTTTGTCTTCATGGATATCATTAGCCATCCTTTACACTGTTACAGCAATACTGAATTACCTTAAAATCACATTACATGGTTTTGAGCTTTCCAAAATACTAGGTAATACATACCTTGTAATATATATTTCTCTTAACATTTAATTTTAAATTTAATTTTCTCTTAAGTTTTATATCATTAAATCTCATTAAATTCCATTTTGAATAACATTTAACCTGCTGTAGCAGTCCACCTTAAACACCAAGCAGTCCACCTTAAACACCAAACATACCTAATTCTAAAACACATTTCTTACACATTAAAATTTTCTACAATAACACATACAAATGCCTTATGGCTAGTATTTCTTTGACATTTAATTTTAATACTAATTTCACTCAAGTTTTGTCTTCTTAGATATCATTAGCCATCCTTTACACCAGTCCCGTAGATAACACGGGGCCCACAGGGCTCGCCCCCCCTGGTTTTTATGGGCCCACCTCCATGGCCAACCCTAACACCCTTCTAAGCAGGAGCCCCCCCCCCCCGCCCTAGGAGAGAGAGAGATCGCATCCGATCCACAGAGCAAGCCAGGCTGCTCTGCTGGACCAAACTGGAAGTTTAATCCCCCCGCCTGCTCCCTAGCCCCTTCGCCGGAGCTGGTGGGGAAGGGTGGAACTGCCCCTTCTCTGGTACTGCCCCTTCTCTGGAAGGAAGGAGGCTGGGGGATCCGCAGCGGTGGCAGCAGGCAGCATTCCCAAAAGCCAGCGACACACAAAGGTGATGGGGTGCCACACACGCTTCCGCCCCAAGTGCCTGGAGGGGGGGGGGTGGGCACGTCGCCTTGGGGGCACCTGAATGTCGCCGTGCTGCGGTCCGCCTTTCCAGCCCTTTCCCTATGGACTCTCCCCTGCAGACTTTACGGCACTCCGTCCCTCCTCGAAAGGTTAGCCCAAGACATGACGGCAAGAACTCCCTGAGACAGACACAGAGATCGATCCAAAAATCAGATCTGAATCAGCCGGGACCCTGAGGGACTCATTTAGAGTTTCCTCCCCCCTCGGTTGCAGCCGGGGCTGCTTTAGGAATTCCACTAATTAAATCAAAATTAATTTAATTAACTTTGATTTAATTGGCTGGTGCCCCCCCGGCCCCCTCCCTAAAAACTCCTTAGCTACAGGGCTGCTTTACACTGTTACAGCAATACTGAATTATCTTTAAATCACATTACAAGGTTTTGAGCTTTCCAAAATATAAAATGATAACTACCTTGTAGTATGTATCTCCTTTAACATTTAATTTTAAATTTCAATTTCTCTTAGGTTTTATATAATTAAATCTCATTAAATTCCATTTTTATGACATTTAACCTGCTGTAGCAGTCCACCTTAAACAGTTCCCCCACCCCTTTTCTTCTTGAATTCCCAACGTTTTTTCTTTGGGGGTTGTGGGTTGCTCCTGTAATGTTCCATTATGGAGCTACAACCCTCTCCTTGTTTGCTTACTATAGCCAAAAAGAGTGTGTTAGATGTGCTTGGCATTCTTTTCCAGTCCTCCATCTTGATATCTCGTGGTTCTTTTGCTTCAAGGAGGATTGCAGCTAAATTCTCCATTTTCACATTAGACTTTAATCTCTGTAACTTCCATCTCCTCCAATGTCGGCTCTTCACTCAGATCCTTTGGTTCATTTAGGGATTGTTCCAACAAACTTTCTTACTTGATCAAATTTGTGGGAAAGCTCCTGAACGTGGTCTGCTAAAAGACACAAATTACTCTGTATTGGTAGCATAGCTGTATTTAAAATGTCTTTTAATTTTCCATTATCTCTTGGAGAGTAGCCATTGTTTCCACAGAGCAACAGTCAAATAGTTAGACCATCTGTGTTTGTTTAGACTAAACCTGAGAATCCACCAAATACTCTTCAGTTTGAAACCAGTTAGATATATTCAGGACAGCACAGTCAAGATCTTCTATAGTCCTTTTAATGTTATTTGCTTTGGATTGAGAGCCGCTTCCAAATTGAGGGGGGAGGGATGACTGGGTAACCGTCCCCCCTCCTCTTTATCTTTCAGAACTTTTTTACAGTCTGGTTGAGTTTTTCAGCTCTGTTTCAGCAAGCATTTCATGCAAGTACAGAAAAAGAAAGAAACTTACTTGTAGAGTATCTTCTTGTAGTTGATGTAGAAAGTGATTTACTGTAGAAATACACTTAGTTTCAATTCTTGAAAAGTCTGGTAGTCACAGCTTAGTGCCAATATAGCGATTGCTTCAGCCGGGGCTTCGGGGCAGACAAAGACTCCAGATTCAAGCCACCACCCGGGTCTGGGTCTTCATCACTCCCCCTGCTTTAGGGACACCTCTCCTGCCCCCCCCAAGAGTCTGGGTAGCCCAGACTCTCCCAAACCATGCAATTTGGGCAGTTGCTGGAGCAGAGCTCCGCAGTTCTCCCCGATCTCGCTGTGCTGAAGCCGAAACCCATCATGGAGTTATTTCTCAACCGGAAGTATGCTGACTTGGGAGGAGAAATGGCCTTGAGGAATGGTTGTATGGTAAATTATTATTAGACCCCTTCCAGTCCAGCTTCTGACCAGGCCACGGAGCAGAGATGGTCCTGGTCGCCCTCACAGATGATCTCCGGAGGCACCTGGATTGAGGCGGTACGGCAGTGTTGATGCTGTTGGACCTGTCGGCAGCGTTCGACACTGTCGACCATCAACTACTGATCAATCGCCTTGCCAACACGAGGATTCAGGGGCTTGCCTTACAGTGGCTCTCCTCGTTTCTCCAGTCTCGGGGACAGAGGGTGGCAGTTGGGGAACAGTTATCTGGAAGGCACCCACTAACTTGTGGAGTGCCCCAAGGAGCAGTGCTTTCCCCAATCTATATGCGCCCCCTTGCCCAGATTGCCCGGAGACATGGACTGAGTTGTCACCAATATGCGGATGACACCCAGCTCTATCTGTTGTTGGACGGCCAGTCAGACTCTAGGTCGGGAGATCCAGACCTGGCACTGAAAGCTGTGGCTGGTTGGCTTAGACTGAGCCGACTGAAATTGAATCCGACGAAGACGGAGGTCCTGTGCCTGAGTCGGAGTGCCCCAAGGTTAGGGATCCCTCTCCCGACTTTTGAGGGGGCGCCGTTGGTGCCAGCACCGGAGGTTAGGAGTTTGGGAGTGTTCCTTGATGCCTCCTAAATGATGGAGGTCCAGGTAGTAGCCACTGTGAGATCTGCCTTTTACCATCTACGGCTGATTAAGCAGCTGGTTCCCTTCCTTGAACACAATGACATGGCTACAGTGATCCATACAATGGTCACCTCGAGATTAGATTACTGTAATGCTCTCTACATGGGGCTGCCCTTGTCCCAAATCCAGAAGCTGCAGCTAGTGCAGAATGCAGCAGCAAGGCTGCTGTTGTGTCTTCCTTTGTGGGACTACATCCAGCCTGCCCTAAAGACGCTGCACTGGCTACCTATAGCATACCGGATAAGGTTCAAGGTGCTGGTTCTTACCTTTAAAGCCCTATATGGCTGGGGACCTACTTACCTAAGGGACTGCCTCTCCCCACATGTTCTCCAGAGAGCACTGAGATCTGGATCCTAAAACTGCCTGGTTCTCCTGGGCCCGAAAGAGGCCAGGTTGGTCATAACCAGTGTTCCCTCTAACCTGTGGAGTCTTGTGAGCCAAAATTCTACTTTGTGAGCTACTGGCATTAAAGTAGTGAGCGAGCCATTTGGCTGCTGCATAAATTAGTCTGCTCTGGAGCCCCATCCTTCCTGAGCTAAGACAAAAATGTGTGATCCGGAGGCTAAAAAACTGTGAGCTAGCTCACACTAACTCAGCTTAGAGGGAACAATGGTCATAACGAAGGCCGGGGCCTTTTCTGTGGCAGCCCCTCACTGGTGGAATGAGCTCCTGGAGGACATCAGGACCCTGCAGGACCTTTTACAGTTCCGCAGGGCCTGCAAGACAGAGCTCTTCCGCTAGGCTTTCAAGTAGGGTGCCACCTTGACTTTATGGCCCTGGCCCTGACATCAACATCAACACCAATCTGGCCTTAACATCAGCACCACTGACAGCTGGATGTTCAACAGCTGGCAGGAGCCTGGAAGCAGCCACTCAGCAATAGTAGAAAGTCGCCAACTTGAAATTGTGTCAGATGCTTGAGTACCTATGCTTTATATTTTAAATTTATTTTAATGTTGTTTATATTGGAATTTTAAATGTATATTTATACTCATATTGTTAGCTGCCCTGAGCTTGCTGTGGCGGGGAGAGCGGGATATAAATTTAAGAAATAAATAATAAATAAATAATAAACAACAGAGGGTAGGGAAGCTTTCATTTTACCTTGGCCACCATTTCTTCCCTGAAAATGCCCTCAGTCCCTGCGTTCCTGTTTCTTAGTAAAGGTGTTGGAACATGAGGCCACGTTTCCTGACATAACATTTAGTTCTGCCTACATAATTTGGAACTTGACAAATCATCCTTTGTCTGCTCCATGCAGCTAGCTGTTCTGCCTTTGGTGGATATATGTGAGCATACGAACATAAAAAGAAATACAAAGCATAGACCTATAGTTCTCCAGATTTTAAGGTTCATGGCCCACTTAGAATCACTGATCAATCCTAGCAGGCATTTTGCAATCCAGTAAATAGCTTTAAGTGCACAACCGTCTAATACAGGATGCCAATAACAGTCTTCACGACCCCATGGACCAGATCACGCCAGGCCTTCCTGTCTTCCGCAATCCTCTGAAGTTTGCTCAATTTCATGTTCATTGCATTTATGACACTGTCTTGACTATCTCATCCTTTGCCATCCCTGTCTTCTTTGACCTTCAATCTTTCCCAGCATCAGGGTCTTCTCCAGTGAATGCTCCCTTCTCATTTGGTGGCCAAAGTATTTGAGCTTCAGTTTCATTATCTGGCCTTCCAGGGAACAGTCAGGGTTGATTTCTTTTAGGATTGACTGATTTGATCTTCTTGCAGTCCAAGGGACTCTCAAGAGTCTTCTCCAGCACCCTTCTATTTGCCAAGGAGTGATGGGGCCGGATGCCATGTTCTTATTTTTTTTGATGTTGAGCTTCAAGCCCACTTTTGCGCTCTCCTCTTTTACCATGAGCAAGAGGCTCTTAAGGTCCTCTTCACTTTCTGCCATTAGAGTGGTATCTTCTGCATATCTGAGGTTGTTGATCTTTTCCCCAGCAATATTGGATCTGTAAAAATGCAGGGAACTTAAATCAGGTCTTGCAACAGCAAGCCCTGCATAACAGCTCTTTGATTGCATCTGTTCTCAACACAGGCATGAACATTCGCTGCTATTAAATGCCTCAAGTTAAGGATGTTTCCCCCCTGCAGAAGGTGCTGTTAAAGGATCTTGGAGAACATGAAAAAAATTAAATTAGTGCTATCTAGTAAATCTTCGGTTTCTGTACTATGGAACTAGGTGAAGCTGCTGTCTGCAAGAAAATAATCATGATAATTTTTAATGGAAGCCACGTTAAAAATTAGATTGGTAACACATAGTTTGGGACATGCACATCTAGGTATCTTATTCTATCCAAGGCTCTCTCCACCTTAGTCCCAATACTGATTTTTTAAATTCTGAGGTTCATAGCTCTTTTTATATGCTCAAAGGATAGTAAAAGGTAAAGGTTTCCCTTGCTCGAAAGCTAGTCAAATCCGACTCTAGAGGGTGGTGCTCATCTCCATTTCCAAGCCAAAGAACCAGCACTGTCCAAAGACGTTTCTGTGGTCATGTGGCCGGCATGACTAAACACCAAGGTGCTCAGAACGCTGTTAGCTTCCCACCGAAGTGGTACCTATTTATCTACTTGCAATTTCTTGCTTTCAAACTGCCAGGTTGGCAGGATCTGGGGCCAGAGACGAAAGCTCACTCCATCCTGTGACACTAGGGTCTTGAACTGCCGAACTACAGAACTTCCAGTCTGCAGCTCAGTGTCTTAACCTCTAAGCCACTGCAGCCCTCAAGCTTAAAGGATAGATTAGCAGCCAAAGGAACTTTATAATTTTAAAGGCTGTGTTATTAGATGAATCTAATGCAAAATAATATTGAAAGAAGCTCAAGATTAAACTTTTTTACTAATAATATATCTATGTAGCCCACAGACCTAGATTTCTTGTTGATGTCATTCTTCCTTAATTCCTGATGCTGCTTATTTTGTTTCTCTGAGTCCGCATTGGACTTTCTGATGAAGCTGTAGGAAGAAACTGCCCCTTGGCTTCTGCTCTTTCCGACCTGTTCAATAGGACCCACGATTTCAGAAATGGTGACTCGCTTGGAAGATATTTGTTTAAGGATTTGTGGTTTCTGCAGTTCGTGTCCCTTCTCTTGGTCCCGGACAGGTTGTTCTTGATTGTTTCTCTTTGGGGAGGGAAAGGAGCAAACAACATATAGTTTTAAAAAACTGAATACAGGATAAGATCTGACAGCAGAGTTGGGATTCTGTGTATTTATAACAGTGAAGTGTTCAAAGTTATTACTGTGATGAGTTGACATTTTTTTAATAGTTAGAAGGTCTCAAAAAATTAAGAGAGGAGAAAACACCAGCATACAGTCCAAAAGCAACGACACCTGTTCTACAGTCCTGGGATGTGAGCAAGGATTTTTTTAAATTTAAGCATCTTAAAACTTTAATAATATATCCCCCCAAGAAAAAATACAGCATTTACATATCAGAAAAGGGGAGAAAAAGGAGAGTCTTACTTATATCTCTCTAAAATCCAGAAAGATTTTTAAAAGGTCTGGACAACAATAAAAAATATGGGTAACTTTAGAAAGAGATTTTGAGATGTGCAACATTGATTTGAATAATTTCATACTGCAATCTATATGCATTTTAAAATTGCAGGCATAAGAAATGACAACTCAGAGCAAGTCAAATACAGAAACATTACCAACAGTGTCCTTTTTTAAAGCTCTGAGGTACTATAATGGATATCATGCATCTTCTTAATAAAAGCAACAACAACAATTTGTTGCAACAACATACATACAGTTGTGGTGTTACCTTAATTAAGTCTCATTAAGCCCCATTGAGTAGATCAATACTATAAATATTTACTTGGAAGTCAGTCCCAATCAATATTAGGAGAAACTTCCTAATGGTAAGAATATAGAATCAATTATTTGGTGTTGAAACAGTCCAGCCAATTGACTAGGTAGTGTAGGGCGATTTGTTGTTTTTGATTGATTGTTGTACGGTGGAAATTATTAGGATATAATTTTTTTAAAAAGTTATTGCTGGCCTTTATTTAGATTACTGGCCAGAGGGACTGGAGTTTTGGAAATCAGTTATGGGAACAAGTTATGGCAGGATAGGAATTTAAGTAGCTGAGGACCCAGCAGCATTGGGAATTGTAAGTTACTACGGGTAGCATATACTTAGGTGTACTGTCAACCAGCTCTGCCAGTGGTCTGAGCCTTGCAAAGACCATGAGGAGTGGTGATGACAGGGCAAGGGATCCCAGTGATCCTGGGGAGGGGAAAATACAGCGGTGGGACCAGGCATGGAGACAAAGAAAGAGGACGGAGAAGTACTGTCGCTTGGCCCCCTTCCAGCCTGCATCCCATCCCAAAGGTTGCTGGCAGTGGGGCTAGGATGAATGACCCCCCTCCATCATTGGTGTTGTGTAATGCCAAGTCTATAAATAACAAGACCATGGTCCTTCGGGACTTTCTGCTAGAGCAGAAAGTAGACCTGGTATGTATGACCGAAACCTGGGTGCGCGAAGGGGAGACAGTAGCTCTCTCCCAGTTAGCTCCTCCCGGGTTTTCGGTCCTTCACCAATCATGGACTAGGGGGTGGGGGGGAAGAGTGGCTGTATTCATTTTGTAGGCTTACTCCTTCAGGACGCTCCCACTGCCAAAGATCACAGGCATAGTGTGTGCTGGCCTAGTGTGGGAGGGCAGGGAGATTTGGTTGGTGCACTGACTGCCCAATGCACTGGCCAATAGCCTTCCATCTCTGATGGAGGCTGTATCGGGCTGGGTACTGGAACACCCTAGACTGATAGTCCTGGGTGATTTCAGTGTCCATGCTGATGATGTAGCCTCCACTCGGGCAACGGACCTAGTGTCGTCCATGGCGATGCTGGGACTCTTCCAATAGGTAATGACCCCCACTCACCAGGCTGGGCACATGCTCGATTTGATCTTCACAGTGGGGGTTACAGTGGACTGGATCACTGCCTTGGCAGTGCCATGGTCGGACCACCTTGCCCTAAGGCCCATCTGAATGTTTCACCCCGACCCTGTTTGGGCAGCAAGCATATTTTAGCTCACCCGTGGAGCCAAATGGACCCTAAGTGGCTTCAAATGGCTCTGCAGGAACTGATGCCTCCTGGCAGCTCGTTAGATCAGCTTGTAGAAGACTGGCATAGCCAAATCTCTGCAGCCATCGACAAGATCGCTCCCTGACACCCTCTGCGCCCTCGCTCTAAGCTTACATCATGGTATAGCCAGGAGTTGCAGCTGATGAAGTGAAGGCTAAGATGGCTAGAAAGACAGTGGCGATGTGCCTGTGACGAAGCTACAAGAAAATCCTATAGGATGTTTATGAGATCCTATGAGATGGCAGTCAAAGCTGTGAAGAAAGAGTACTATGCAGCTTCGATTTCATCTGCGAGATCATGCCCAATCCAATTGTTTAGAATGATTCGGACCACGACGACTCTTCCACAAGGCAGGTCAAACATTAGGGAATTTAACACTGGCTGTGAGGCTTTTGCGAGCTATTTTGCAGATAAAGTCCTGTCACTCCGCCGTGACCTCCCTGCCACAGTTGAGACAGTGAGCGAACTCAAGGCTCCATGCATGTATTCTAGTCAAGTTATGGGTTGGTTCAGTCCACTCAGCCTAGAGGAAGTTGACAAATTGCTCTTAACTGTACACCTCACCACGTGACGTCTCCTTGATCCATGCCCATCATGGCTACTTAAAGCTGGTCGCGATGGGTTCCGGGGTGCCCTTGGGGAGATTAGGAGATTATCAACAAGTCTCTCTTGGAGGGTCATGGTTCGTCCCCTCTTGAAAAAACCATCTCTGGATCCATCCAAATTGGCCAACTACTGGCTGGTTTCCAACTTGCCCTATTTGGGCAAGCTAATCAAGAGGGCCATGGCAGTTCAGTTTCAGAGCTTTTTGAATGACACTTCTATCTTAGATGCCTATCAGTCCAGTTTTCACCTAGGACATGGGATGGAGACAGCACTGGTCGCCCTCATGGACAAACTCCAGAGCCATCTAGATCGAGGTGGATTGGCAGTGCTGTTGTTGTTGGACCTGTCAACAGTGTTCGACACAGTCGACTAGCAGCTGCTGATCCGCTTGCCTTGCCGACTCTGGAGTTCAGGGGTATGCCTTGCAATGGCTCGCATCCTTCCTTCAAGGTCAGGGACAAAGGGTGGCACTAGGGGAACAGCTGTCCCAAAGGCACCCACTGATTTGTGGAGCGCCTCAAGGGGCGCTGCTTTCCCTGATGTTGTTCAACATCTACATGCGCCCCCTTGCCCAGATTGTCCAGAACTATGGGCTGGGATGTCACCAGTATGTGGACGACACCCATCTCTATCTGTTGTTGGGTGGCCAATCTGACTCTACGCCGGAAGATCTGGACTGGGCATTACAAGCTGTGTTTGGTTGGCTTGGACTGAGTTGACTGAAACTGAATCTGATGAAGACGGAGGTCCTGTGCCTAAGCTGGGGTGGCCCAAAGGCAGGGATCCTACTCCCAACCTTCGATGGGGCACAGTTGGTGTCAGCACCAGAGGTTAGAAGCCTGGGAGTGCTCTTGGATGCCTCTTTAACAATAGAAGCCCAGGTAGCAGCCACTGCCAGGTCAGCCTTTTATCATCTTTGGATGATTAGGCAGTTGGTTCCCTTCCTTGAATGCAACGACTTGGCAACAGTGATCCATGCTATGGTCACCTCAAGATTAGACTACTGTAATGCTCTCTACATGGGGCTGCCCTTGTCCCAAATCTGGAAGCTGCAGCTAGTGCAAAATGCTGCAGCCAGGCTGTTGATGGGTCTCTCTACATGGGAACACATCCAGCCTGTGCTAAAAGCATTGCACTGGCTGCCAATAGCATACCGGATTCACTTCAAGGTGCTGGTTTTGACCTTTAAAGCCCTTTATGATCAGGGTTCAGCATACCTAAGGGACTGCCTTTTCTCATACTTTCCCCAGAGAGCACTGCGTTCAGGGACCCAAAACCGGTTGGCCCTCCCGGGCCCCAAAGATGCCAGGCTGGCAATAACTAGGGCCAGGGCCTTCTCAGTGGCGGTTCCATACTGGTGGAATGAGCTCCTGGTTGAGATCAGGGTCCTGGAGGACCTCTTACAGTTCTGCAGGGCCTGCAAGATGGAGCTCTTCCACCAGGCCTTTGATTAGGAGCCGTACCAAACACCTGAGAAATGACCATGTGCCCTGGCCTACAACCTACAACTTACAGCCTGTGCCCACCACATATATAAACGGATCAATTGAGCTGGTGTAAGAATACCATCATGACTGTTGCCTAAGTAATACTGTTTAATACTATTCAATTTTTTAAACTTCTGCTCTTGTACTTTACTTGAATTTTGTCCCAGCACTTTAGGGCAACTAATAATTTAATTGTTATGGTGTTTTATGAATGATTTTAATTGTATTTATATATGCATTTTTATGTAAGCTGCCCTGAGCCTGCCTAGGCAGGAAGGGTGGGGTATAAATTGAATTAATTAAATAAATAAATAAATAAAAGTTACACCATAGAACCAGTTACTGGATGTGCATGAGCGCTAGTTTGGATTTCTTGAATTAAGCAGGCAGTTGGATTTAGACATCCTATAATTCTGATTTCAGTGGAGCTTACTCCCAAATAAGCATGCGTAGGATTGCAGTCTAAATTGCAGTATTTTAGCTTAAAAGGAATGTAAGTTGAAACTATATATTACTTATTCTTTCTATCAAAAGTGAGCTCACATAGAAGTAACAGTGGCTCCTGGTGAAATGCGGCATTTGGGAATGAATTCTTAGTATTTAGGAGTTCTATTTTCATTGCCCTGCTTATTTCAGGCTGAAACTCAATGGGACCAAAAGCTATGACAAATGTATCTAAAATGGCAGCAGGAAGCCTCTGTAATGTGGACAGTACCTTGCCAGCCAAAAGCCTCAGTAATGAATTTCTGATATAAATTTCCTACTTTTTCCTGATTGTTTCCACACAGACGTTTTGCTCCAGTTTGGCATCCAAACCAGAATAGTGTTTTTGAGGAGTATCCATACAACGTGATTCTCTCTAATCATCCACTTCCCAGGGTTTCTGGTTTTGCTCCATATTTTCTCAAACCTGGTTTGATATAATCTTTTTAAAAGATCGCTAAGCGTGGTTGCACACACTTGCACAGGAAGGTGAGCTTTTTTGAAGTTCTCACCCACATTGGCACCATATTCCTTGCCTCAGTCCTTTGTGGCCACCATTCCCCCTCCACCAGGTCCTCAGAAGAGTTTTCAGGCTTTTGAAAAGCCCCCTTGAGGCTCTCCTGATGCCTACCTTACTTTATTTTAGGCACCGGGCTAGAACATCCCCTCCCCGGGGCTTTTAATTAGCTTTTGTTTTATCAGTTTTTATTTTATGGATCTTTTTCATGATGCTTGTGTCCAATGGCTTGTGTTTTAATGGCTTGTGTTTCCGCACTGTTGTTTTTAATTGTAAGCCACATTAAGCACAATTCTGAGGAGGTGGCATGGAAATGTTCTAAATAAATAAATAAAAAATAAGGAATGGCTGGATTACTATAATGTTATATTATGACAATTATTGCTTCTGTCTACAAATTCCTCTACATTCCCAGCTGTCACTAAAAACAAAAGAAAACCCTAGCCTTTTTGTTGTGGGGATAGCCATTCCCGTTAGAACTCCAGAACAATCAGGGCAAGAGACTTAGGCTGCCTACAGAGAGGGGTGGGAAAAGAGGCACCTGCTGCAGAAGCAGTTGCAAATGACGAGGAAGTGGGTGGGAATGACAGCAGCTGTCCACACTGGGAAAAATCTTTATATGGTGGTAAATTCAGGGGAACTGGTGAATGTTGGAGGAAACTGTACATACAACTCTTGTGTGAATGCCGCATTGTCAATATAAATGTCTCTGCATTTGAAGCAGCCATGACAAGGAAACAGAATTCTCACCATGTAGATACAGACCCCATTGCCCTAATATTTATGATAACATTCCAGAGAAAGCACTAATACATGTTCCCCTTCAAGTCACCTTTTTACAAATATCAAGACAATTAAATCTAGAATTACGGTGTGTAAGGTGCTTTCCTTGGCATTCATCATCCCATAGGGATTGTTATCGCTGGCCCCATTGTGCCGAGGGTTTTAAATGGGCCTCAAAATTGATGACTTTGATATATATCTGTTGTAGGCCTTCAATCCCCAAGCTTTTCCAAAATAATCCCAGTCTATGAGGAGGTATCTGTCTGATTAATACTCACAGTCCATGGTGTGTTGCTGATAGCTTTCTGTTCCTCTTGTATGTCCAAATTTTTAAATACAATACTGGCGTCAGGATTCTTAGATTTCAGTAGACTGATGAGTCGCATCCATTGACGGAAAAGGAGTGCCTGTTTCTGTGGTGGGCCAGAGAGCTCTAAGTAGTAGGCACGGCCGCTCACCAGCTTTAATTTGATGCGGCTCCTCTTGAGAGAATGAATAGAAATGCTCACATATTTCAAGGGTATGAACCTATAAGAAAACTCTCATGTGAGTACTTGAAAGGGTGGAGACACTGGAATCAAGAACATGGCAAAGTGATCTGGAACTGAACTAATTTCTGAAAGGGCAGAGTTTTGGGTTTTCAAACCAGGGTTATGTGTGTGCAGCTCACTCTGGCTGTAGCCAAATTTCTCTCAATTGGTGTGGCTCATTGTACAGCGGCTCAGA